CATGGCAGAACGACTGGGCTGTTGAGCTGATCAAGAATATATATGGTTTATAGGGTCGGAAATGACTCCTTCACTGCGTTTTAATCTTCTGACTGAAGCTGTACTCTGCAAAAAGGTATAAAACAGACAATTTTCTTAAATAATCTGAGTTTTCCAAACATCACAATTAAGCCAAAATAGCATTAATTTTGATTCGGAAACTTTTCTGTGCAAGTTTTTATAGCACTAACAAATCTGCATACTGCGTTTCTTGATGCTGTTATACGTTTCTGACTAAAATTATAGTAACCGTAAAAGGTATAAAAACAGACAATTTTTCCAAAAATCATACTTAAAAAAACTCACAACTAAGCTAATAAATCATTAATTTTAATTCGGAAAGCTTTCTATGCTAGTTTAAGAGATTAACAAAGCTGCATACTCAGTTTTTCAATTTGAATAATTAATTTTTTGTCAAATTTTGGCAATTTTAATGATGTAACCCCTTATAAAATTTTCAATTTTCGGAAAATGTAAAAATTTATTTTTTGACCGACATGGCTAGAACGACTGGGCTGTTGACGCTGATCAAGAATATATATGGTTTATAGGGTCGGAAATGACTCCTTCACTGCGTTTTAATCTTCTGACTGAAGCTGTACTCTGCAAAAAGGTATAAAAACAGACAATTTTCTTAAATAATCTGAGTTTTCCAAACATCACAATTAAGCCAAAATAGCATTAATTTTGATTCGGAAAGCTTTTCTGTGCAAGTTTTTATAGCACTAACAAATCTGCATACTGCGTTTGTTGATGCTGTTATAAGTTTCTGACTAAAATTATAGTAACCAGTAAAAGGTATAAAAACAGACAATTTTTCCCAAAAATCATAGTTTAAAAAAACTCACAACTAAGCTAATAAATCATTAATTTTAATTCGGAAAGCTTTCTATGCTAGTTCTAGAAGATTGACAAAGCTGCATACTCAGTTTTCAATTTGAATAATTCAATTTTTTGTCAAATTTTGGCAATTTTAATGATGTAACCCCTTATAAAATTTTCAATTTCGGAAAAATGTCAAAAATTTATTTTTTGACCAGACATGGCTAGAACGACTGGGCTGTTGACGCTGATCAAGAATTATATGGTTTATAGGGTCGGAAATGACTCCTTCACTGCGTTTTAATCTTCTGACTGAAGCTGTACTCTGCAAAAAGGTATAAAAACAGACAATTTTCTTAAATAATCTGAGTTTTCCAAACATCACAATTAAGCCAAAATAGCATTAATTTTGATTCGGAAAGCTTTTCTGTGCAAGTTTTTATAGCACTAACAAATCTGCATACTGCGTTTGTTGATGCTGTTATAAGTTTCTGACTAAAATTATAGTAACCAGTATAAAGGTATAAAAACAGACAATTTTTCCCAAAAATCATAGTTTAAAAAAACTCACAACTAAGCTAATAAATCATTAATTTTAATTCGGAAAGCTTTCTATGCTAGTTCTAAGAAGATTGACAAAGCTGCATACTCAGTTTTTCAATTTGAATAATTAATTTTTTGTCAAATTTTGGCAATTTTAATGATGTAACCCCTTATAAAATTTTCAATTTTCGGAAAATGTCAAAAATTTATTTTTTGACCAGACATGGCTAGAACGACTGGGCTGTTGACGCTGATCAAGAATATATATGGTTTATAGGGTCGGAAATGACTCCTTCACTGCGTTTTAATCTTCTGACTGAAGCTGTACTCTGCAAAAAGGTATAAAAACAGACAATTTTCTTAAATAATCTGAGTTTTCCAAACATCACAATTAAGCCAAAATAGCATTAATTTTGATTCGGAAAGCCTTTCTGTGCAAGTTTTTATAGCACTAACAAATCTGCATACTGCGTTTGTTGATGCTGTTATAAGTTTCTGACTAAAATTATAGTAACCAGTATAAAGGTATAAAAACAGACAATTTTTCCCAAAAATCATAGTTTAAAAAAACTCATAACTAAGCTAATAAATCATTAATTTTAATTCGGAAAGCTGTTCTATGCTAGTTCTTAGAAGATTAACAAAGCTGCATACTCAGTTTTTCAATTTGAATAATTCAATTTTTTGTCAAATTTGGCAATTTTAATGATGTAACCCCTTATAAAATTTTAATTTTCGGAAAAATGTCAAAAATTTATTTTTTGACCAGACATGGCTAGAACGACTGGGCTGTTGACGCTGATCAAGAATATATATGGTTTATAGGGTCGGAAATGACTCCTTCACTGCGTTTTAATCTTCTGACTGAAGCTGTACTCTGCAAAAAGGTATAAAAACAGACAATTTTCTTAAATAATCTGAGTTTTCCAAACATCACAATTAAGCCAAAATAGCATTAATTTTGATTCGGAAAGCCTTTCTGTGCAAGTTTTTATAGCACTAACAAATCTGCATACTGCGTTTGTTGATGCTGTTATAAGTTTCTGACTAAAATTATAGTAACCAGTATAAAGGTATAAAAACAGACAATTTTTCCCAAAAATCATAGTTTAAAAAAACTCACAACTAAGCTAATAAATCATTAATTTTAATTCGGAAAGCTTTCTATGCTAGTTCTAGAAGATTGACAAAGCTGCATACTCAGTTTTTCAATTTGAATAATTAATTTTTTGTCAAATTTTGGCAATTTTAATGATGTAACCCCTTATAAAATTTTCAATTTTCGGAATAATGTCAAAAATTTATTTTTTGACCAGACATGGCTAGAACGACTGGGCTGTTGACGCTGATCAAGAATATATATGGTTTATAGGGTCGGAAATGACTCCTTCACTGCGTTTTAATCTTCTGACTGAAGCTGTACTCTGCAAAAAGGTATAAAAACAGACAATTTTCTTAAATAATCTGAGTTTTCCAAACATCACAATTAAGCCAAAATAGCATTAATTTTGATTCGGAAAGCCTTTCTGTGCAAGTTTTTATAGCACTAACAAATCTGCATACTGCGTTTGTTGATGCTGTTATAAGTTTCTGACTAAAATTATAGTAACCAGTATAAAGGTATAAAAACAGACAATTTTTCCCAAAAATCATAGTTTAAAAAAACTCATAACTAAGCTAATAAATCATTAATTTTAATTCGGAAAGCTGTTCTATGCTAGTTCTTAGAAGATTAACAAAGCTGCATACTCAGTTTTTCAATTTGAATAATTCAATTTTTTGTCAAATTTTGGCAATTTTAATGATGTAACCCCTTATAAAATTTTCAATTTTCGGAAAAATGTCAAAAATTTATTTTTTGACCAGACATGGCTAGAACGACTGGGCTGTTGACGCTGATCAAGAATATATATGGTTTATAGGGTCGGAAATGACTCCTTCACTGCGTTTTAATCTTCTGACTGAAGCTGTACTCTGCAAAAAGGTATAAGAACAGACAATTTTCTTAAATAATCTGAGTTTTCCAAACATCACAATTAAGCCAAAATAGCATTAATTTTGATTCGGAAAGCCTTTCTGTGCAAGTTTTTATAGCACTAACAAATCTGCATACTGTGTTTGTTGATGCTGTTATAAGTTTCTGACTAAAATTATAGTAACCAGTATAAAGGTATAAAAACAGACAATTTTTCCCAAAAATCATAGTTTAAAAAACTCATAACTAAGCTAATAAATCATTAATTTTAATTCGGAAAGCTGTTCTATGCTAGTTCTTAGAAGATTAACAAAGCTGCATACTCAGTTTTTCAATTTGAATAATTCAATTTTTTGTCAAATTTGGGCAATTTTAATGATGTAACCCCTTATAAAATTTTCAATTTTCGGAAAAATGTCAAAGATTTATTTTTATGGTTTATAGGGTCGGAAATGACTCCTTCACTGCGTTTTAATCTTCTGACTGAAGCTGTACTCTGCAAAAAGGTATAAAAACAGACAATTTTCTTAAATAATCTGAGTTTTCCAAACATCACAATTAAGCCAAAATAGCATTAATTTTAATTCGGAAAGCCTTTCTGTGCAAGTTTTTATAGCACTAACAAATCTGCATACTGCGTTTGTTGATGCTGTTATAAGTTTCTGACTAAAATTATAGTAACCAGTATAAAGGTATAAAAACAGACAATTTTTCCCAAAAATCATAGTTTAAAAAAACTCATAACTAAGCTAATAAATCATTAATTTTAATTCTGAAAGCTGTTCTATGCTAGTTCTTAGAAGATTAACAAAGCTGCATACTCAGTTTTTCAATTTGAATAATTCAATTTTTTGTCAAATTTTGGCAATTTTAATGATGTAACCCCTTATAAAATTTTCAATTTTCGGAAAAATGTCAAAAATTTATTTTTTGACCAGACATGGCTAGAACGACTGGGCTGTTGACGCTGATCAAGAATATATATGGTTTATAGGGTCGGAAATGACTCATTCACACCGTAACAACAATTTTGGTTTGGTTTTGTTTTATTCATATTTTATTTGTCATGCATAATATTAGGCTTAAATACTATATATTATATTACTTTAAATACAATTTACAGCTGTTTAGCTAACAATTTGTGCTGATTCGAAGGTTGTATTTCATTTCCTATTAAATAATCAATGCAAATTCTAGATTTATATATATATACACATATATATACACAAAACAGACTTACATAATAGATACATATTTACGTCGAATACATATATTTATGACTATATTTGCTGTTTATATTTTTTTTAGCAAAAATTCATTCATATTTACAGTTGAATAGAAAATATTTAGAATTTCGGAGCTTATGGTATCCATTTAATAATAGTTTTGTTTTTCAAATGAGGTTGTGAGAAAAGTGATCGAGAGATGGAAAATACTGTTTTAGTAGAGGGGAAATCGAAAGGAACTATAAGAAAGTAGTTGGAAAAATCAGTCTACCAAGGGGATATTAATGGAAAGCAGGAATAGTAGGAAGAAAGATAGAACTTTGAGGTATTTTCTTCAGCTATGGGGTTTAATTAATTTTCTCTATATGGTTTTCATTTTAATTTTTAAGCCACAAAAATGGCACAACAATTTTTGTTTATTTTTTTTTTCCTTTATTTGATGATTATCTGGATGCATCCTTCGCTTATGGTTCCCATAGTTTTGGCTAAACATTTAACAACAGCAACAAGTATAAAAACAACAACAAATAATGGTTAACAAGTGCAAGATGAAACTGAAAAGAGAAGATAAAGCATGTATTAGTTTTATGTACTCATTTTGAATTACTTAACAATTTAAATATATTAAAATGAGCTTGTTTTAGGGGAAGCTTTTATTATTTTTCAAAGTTTTAGTTTTGATTACGATTTTAAATGCAAATTTAATATACAAAACCTAAAATATATACATTATTGGGACATTAAATCGATGTTTTATGTGCTAATTTTTTTTGGGTAAATCAATGATTTTAAATTATCATAACTCAGCCAAAAATGCATTAATTTCAATTTGGACATCTTTTCTGTGTTAGTTTTTATAGTGCTAACGAATCTGCATACTGAGTTTTTAAATTTAGAAAATTCAATTTTATGTCAAATTTTGGCAATTTTAATTTTCCGAAAAATTTCAAAAACTTATTTTTCAACCGGACATGACTAGATCGGCTCGGTTAATGATCATTAATATATGTATATGGCTTAAAGGGTCGGAAATGACTCGTTCAGGTTATAATACCTATTCAAAGGGTACAAAAATTTTAAAATTTTTATATTCCTACATGTAAACATTCTTACCTTGCTCTGTGCCTGCACAGATGCCACAGATGCTAGACCCACTGTTCGCCCACCCCCATTTTCACACCACCTGGACGGTGGCAAAGGCACTGAAGGTGACCTTCTTGGGGAACTCCGGACCCGGCGAGCCTCGAGTCTTGATCACCGGCTTGAGGGGCTGGCGTGGCTTCAGGGAGAGCAGACCCGCGGAGGCGGCCAGTTCCCTGAGGCGTTGGGAGAAACCGGAGCTGCCGGAGTGTCCGGATGTGGCCATCGCATTAGCCGTTGTCCCATTGTGATGCTCCAATCCAGCGCAGTCCAGAACGTCCAGTCCATTGTTGGAGCGATACACCTGGGCGGTGGCCGTGGGATACACAGCCAGATTGGTGCCAGGGACGACACCTCCTGCCGCTGAGGTTGATGCGGTTGCCGATGCCGATGCTGCTGCTGCCGGTGTTATGTATCTGAATAAATAGTAAGGAAAATATATAATTAGATTTGTATTTGTTATCTATAAGGTATTTCCAAATAAAATACTTGAAAACATCAACCTCTTTGTATTACTTAAAAATGAAAAACAATGGGAGGAGGTATCACATCACCTGGTTAATAGCAATAAATATCGATCGAGAGGGATAAGAAGATGGGCTTAAAGATTAGTCAGCCTGCTAATTGATTTATTTTTTATTTGACCAGAAACTAAGCAGATTCGCACACGTGCCGGGTGTGAAGAGATCACCCCAGGTATAGAGGTGTGTCCACCTCTCAGATCGCACACAACTGCGAAGTCTTTTGAGAAGGAGGTGGCCCAGGTTTTTGGCTTCGATGTGCCTGGCATTGCCTGGCAACAGATCCAAGATCCAAGATCCAAGACTGCTATCGAATGGCCAGAGATTTATTCATGATCCATCCATCACCATTTATCTGTGTGGCGAGTGGGCTTTGTGCATTGCTTCTCTTTGCCGATGATTGCGGCAATGATTGCCGAAGACGCTAATCAATTTGTTTATGAGCTTTGAGCTACTTTAGTTTATATATACTTGTATAGTATATTTTTAAGGTTTTATTTTTATTTGTACGGTTGTGCAAAAATATATATGCAAATGAGTTCGCAACAGCGGCCGTAGATAATTGTTTTGCGGCGAACTGAAATTGTTGAGCAAATAAAGTCTGTGTGTGTGTTTTGTTGTGTTAAAAAATGAATGCCAGATGAGACATCAATATGCCAGTAAGGAGATCTGTGTACTCATTCACTCAATGGGTATATTGGGTATTGGGTATATCCACTGTGAGTGGAAAGTGGTACCCAAAAAAAAAAAAATGCGTAACTTCCACTTGGAAATAATCGTTAATATTCAAGAGCTGTGGTTCATCTGGCTTTCAAGGGACCTCTGTAATTGGGTTCATGAGAAGCAAATATTTACACAATTGTATAACAAATTTATTTGTTATTTTTCCAATTGCTGAACATGCACGATCGATTTAAGAGGTAAAATTATGAGCGAAAGTTATTTGTTTTCCTGTGAAATGATATCTGAGGGTTCATATACATACATTTTTATTACATTTAAAATGATGATTATTGGTTAAGCTTTGATTACAAAAGTTAACGGATATAATATTAAAGTAAGACTGTTTTTAAAAAACAGTTAAATGTATATATAATATATAATAATAATATATAATATATAATATCTAATATTATTATTATATATTATATACACTATACACTACACTATATACTTAGTTCATAAGTTTCAAAATCAAAAGAAACCTTTTTAAGAAAGGGTATTGTAAATTTTTAAGGCATAAACAATTAATTGCCGGTGCATGCTTTTTGTGACTTTAATGACTCTTGTTTCTTTTTGTTCTGCTTTTATTTTTTGCGGTGTTTTTACGATAGATTCGGCTTTCGGCATTCGGCATTATTGGGTTAATTGTGGCAATTATTTTGGCAGTATAATTAGCTTGTTCGATGTTAATCTTAGGCACGCTTTGCCCTTAAAGTGCACTTCTAGTGCAATTTTAGCACTTACCAAGATCGGAACTAAGCCGAATTAGCATAATATATAGCAGCCTCGTGCCTGAACTTCCTCATGAATGCAATTTTAGGTAAAATGTAAACTCATTTCGAATACAAATCGACTGAAAACTATATTTTTTTTGTGATTATCAGCGGCATTGGATTGGCTTTCCCTTATCTTAGTTTAGGATCTAAATTACATTCATTATACTTGTTTGGCATAGCTTTCAATGGAGTTTATTGGTTTCAATGCTCGCATTTCATGCCCTTTTGGGCCAAGTGCTCCAACCGTGTGAAGTACCTTTCGGGTCTCGTCTTACGATTTCTGTTCATCTTTTTTCCATTGGCCCATTGTTCGTTCTTGTGGTTTTTGTGTTGCCGAGCTGCGCTTTATGTGAATATAATTAAGCATTATCAGCTGGGAGTTGCATTGGCTTTTGTTTTGGTCCGTGTTTGTTTTCGTTTTGGCATTGAACTTTGCTTTGACTTTGGGTCTTCATAATTAATTATAATATTATAAACATCTTCATATTGTCTGAGCCATCAACATATGTATATGGAGGTATATCTGTATCTGCGAGTGTGTGAGAAAATCGCTTGCAATTTTTCACACAATTTACAGTTGAAGGGGAATTTTTCGTTGTGTTTTTTCTGTTTGTTAAAGGTATTTTTTGTGTGTCTGGTATTTGTAGCAATGTCAGGGGAAAGTACAAAAAGGCAGCCAATTAATTGTTGCAGTGGGAATGTTTTTGTGAATGCCATTCAAAAAGTTGGAGAATTTTAATTAAATGTGTCTGTGGACTTGATACAATTCCATTGAATATTTGAGGTTGTAAACAAACCTTTTTCTTACTGTATTTATATTCTCTGCTGTTGTATTTTATTTACTACAAAATCTTAAGTCTCTTTAATGCTTATCTCTAGAGATCTCGAGACCCGTCAGCACTTGTCCATATACCATATACCATATAACTTAGTTCCCATGCAACTCGCGGCTTTAAAACGCATCAAAATTGGCTTAAATAGTTGCTAATTTCGACCCAATTCTCATAGCCGCCTGTCTTTGGGTAAAGGTGGAGGAGGGGCCTCACTTGATGGGTATCAGACCGGTTGAGACATAATAAATCATAGCTGATTTTGGCTTGCTTAATATTGTTTGTTTGCTTCCCCAATTTTAGGTATATTTATGCAGCTTTTTTTAGAGACTGCTCAAGTTCAGCGATCGCATAAATTTGAGACCAATCGAAAGGGAAGGCAAAGGGGATTGTTTTTTGGCCAAGCAAAATTGAGTGATTTTCTGCTGTGGCAATTTAATCGGCAGATCAATGAAATTAATGCCAGATTGGCAGTTAATTTGATGTGGAAATCTCCTCCACTCAGCCGCATTGCATCCGCACACATATATTTCAATTTGGATGTCACGATGCCGTCAAACATTTGACAAATGACCAAACAAGTTTCATTTCGTTTCGTCGAAGCCAAGTAGTACTTATTGGCCCGAAAGCACGACAGCGATGCTAAACATTAGGCAAATGCCTGGGCATTATAATTTGTCAAACGCTCTCGACATAAATCCATCAAACGGAATCAATTGAAGAGCAAAAAGCAAACGAATTGCATAATAAATTCAGATAAAAAGCTAAGCTGGGCAATAAATAAGGTACGAGTTAGGGGGAAAAAAAAGGGGGAAATTGGATGGGTCAGGAGAGGTACACAATGAGAAAATACATACTGAGGCTACTTCTTTATAGTTCATTTAAGATGAGAGTTAGAATTAAATATTTATCAGGCATTTGTTAGCAGGAACTTTAGGTTATCTGTCTTGAAGGAATCTTCTTGATCTTCGTTTCTTTCTGTGTATCTTGAGAAAAGCATAGCTGGAGAGCCATGGCAGCTGCTCGCTGTCTTCTAACATAATTACATATTTTTACTGTTGCAGTTGCATCTTCTTTATGCTGCCTGTCTGGTACGCTTTCTTACCCCTCCTCAGATTTCCCCCCTCTCCGCTGTGCTGCTTGTGTGGCATGTTAAGCAGCTGCCCAGAAAGTGGCAAAAAGAAAATATATAATAACGTAAAGAAAACAAAACAAAAGAAGCGCCGCTCTGCGCCATGCCGCACATGCGCAGTTTCACATCCGCATGGCATTCCTGCCTCCCCAGCGGCTGCATTGCCTTCCCTCCTCTCCCCTCCCCCTCCCGATTCCCGCCTCGAGCATCCAACAATTGCTTCATTTTGAGGCAAATGAAAAGCAATTTTTATGCCACAATTATCCGCCGGTGCCGGAGGAGCGAGCGAGCAGAGGAACGCAAAGTGAGCCAAGTGCCAGCCTCCAGTTCGTTTCCTGAGTCTTTTGTTTAGCATACGACACAAAAAAACGAAAGAAATGTTCTAGAAGAGTCAGAGGAAAGTGTTGCAACGCGCACAGAGATTTTCCAAAGGAAAACTCAAAGGCACAGGTGTTTTCTAGGGAAGAATGTAATATGACTTTGAAGCTCTATAAAAATTTATTCTTTCTATTAACTTTCACAGTCATTCTATAGATATTTTCAATATAACAATTGAATAAATGCCTGGCTTATTTGGTAATATATTTTATGGGACAACTGACTTGTTATTAACATTGACTGGTTCAGACTCTTGTTCTGCCACTCGGGACATAAGTAATGTCTATATAAAAATATAAATTTATATATATGTATCGCATCATTTGGCTCGCTGGCTCGACTCTTGACATTTTGTGGCGATTATCGAAACACGTTTCTGATGGCGTCTCTGAAATATTCTAATATTCGGCATGGGCGTTCTCTCCCTATTTTGTGATCACTTGGGGCGCCATAAAATGTCAAGGTTGCAATGTGCCACAAAGACAGGCTCTGCCTCGTCAAATATCCATTTGTGATTTCGCAACTATGTATCTATGTAAGCGACGAGAATTTCCAATTATAAAGAAGTACGTAGAAGCAATAGAAGATGCGGCATCATAAGGCCCAAATGGATCTCCCTCCATCTCTCTGTTTGGCCAGTCATCGCCCCGAAGAAGTGGCAGAAGAAAATGGCCAGAAGGAGGAGGAGGAGGAGGAGGAGGAGGAGGGTAAGAGCCAAAGAGTGAAACAAATCTTTCACACGTTCAAAGCTCTTTTCGAGGGGAGCGCTGCCCTGGCCATTGAAATTGTTTATTGAAATCGATGATGAATGATTGAAAGTAACTATTAGTTGCCAGCAGTTGCCTCTTCATCTCCTCCGTCTCCTCCGTCTGATGCTGCTGCTGTTGTTATTATTGAATTTGCTGTCGGAAGCAATTTACAAATTGTTTTGCCAGACAGCAAAGCATTTTCTGCTTCAGTTTTCTCTGTCTGTGTTAGGTTGAGATTAATTCTATAAATTTCTTTTAGATTTCTTACTTTTCTTTGTGTTTTACTAAGTGTTTAAACAACATTGCA